GAGAGGGAGGTGGGAGGGGGGATCGGGATGGGGAATACATGTAAATCCATGGCTGATTCATGTCAATGTATGACAAAAACCACTACAATATTGTAAAGTAATTAGCCTCCAACTAATAAAAATAAATGAAAAAAATATATACATTGTTTAAAAAAAAAATTAAATAAATAAATAAATTTTTGGCTGTGCCGGGTCTTTGCTACATGGGCTTTTCTTTAGTTGCGGCAAGTGGGAGCCGCTCTCTAGTTGCGGTGCTCCGGCTTCTCATTGCAGTGGCTTCTGTTGTTGATGAGCACGGGCTCTAGGGTGCGCGGGCTTCAGCAGCTGCAGCTCTCAGGCTCTAGAGCACAAGTTCAATAGTTGTGGCCCAAGGGCTTAGTTGCTTCGCGCCATGTGGGATCTTCCCAGATCAGGGACTGAACCTATGTCTCCTGCTTTGGCAAGTGAATTCTTAATCACAGAGCCACCAGGGAAGCCCTACTGTGCTCTTGAATGTTATCAGAATATTTCCTACAGAAAGCAGCCCAGGCTCCTGGATGAGGCTTAAAGGACATTCTGTGGGGTCCCCGGTGTGTGGAGGAGCCAAGAGACCTAGGGGCCAGACAAGATGGAAGGACAGTGACAGGGTCTGACAGACGAAGGGGCAGACATGGATATTGATGGAGATAGAGACTAGAGAGACAAAAACAAGGACCAGAGGGAGAGGAACATGGCAGAGATACAGAGAAGAAAAAGAAGACAGTGCAGAGAGACAGGAACAGGATAAGAGAGAGAGAGGATAAGTCCTCATGACCGGCGTATGCCCAGCTTCAGAGGGAGCGAGTAAGATAGGCAGAGGGCAGGGGGCATGTACCTGGGCGGGGGCTAGCCTCTCCCTCTGGTGCCCACGCTGAGCAGGGCTCTGGCTTTAGGGCTGGGGGCGGCGAGGGCTCTCCTGGCCTGACGTCCCTCCTGGCCAAGTCCCTGGTGACCCACTCAGCCCTTCAGAGCTCGCTGGGCTCCAGCCAGCAGTGGCGGGGGGTGGGAGGGTCTGGAGCCCAGGTCAGGCCTGCTGAAGGCTGGGCAGGAGGGGGAAAAGCACCTGGAGTGGGTACGTAAGGTGAGGGAAGAATTCTCTCTGCAGCCACGCAGACCCCGAACAGCTTCCTTCCCCCTTGTTTCTTGGATTACCTCAACCTGTTATTCAGGTTATGAAATTGTGACGCAAAGGTACAGGAAGAAACATCCTGTTCCCCTGCCTGCTGGCTTGAGTGGCCCAGGCACAGACTCAGTGGAGGGTGGAGGGTGGGAAGCAGGAGATGGGGTGGGGAGGTCAGAAGTTAGAAGGCCTGAATTGCTAACAAATAGCTCCACTGCGAATTGAGCAGAATGCCCATAGTCCACCCTCACCATCCATGATCCTCTCCGTTCGTCCTGCCCTCCCCCCCGGAACGCTTCTGATTTCTGGCTTCAGGTCCAACCCTGTGCACTGGACCCCGGGCATGCTCTGCTTTTCCACGCCAGGCCTTGTCTTCTGCAGGCCTGGTAGGGTGCTGAGCACTCAGGAGGTGCTTGCTGAATATTTGAGGACTGATTGAATTGCACTTCTTGTATAGTCCTGGAAGGCTAGGATGATGAAACCACCAGGTTGAGAAGGAAGCTGAAGTTCAGAAAGGGCAAGTGACTTGTCTGAGACCACACAGCCAATTGTGGATTTTATTCCTAAAGCATTCTCTGAGGACTGGTTGGAAGGACGCTGGGTGTGCACTAGGAATGGGGATGTGACTGTGAACAAGATGCACCCTGGAGCATCCCTGGGCCTCTGGTATTGCCTGTCCCTCTGTCTGAACACTGTTGCTCTGCCTCTTTGCCTGAAACACTCCAACTCATCCTTCCAGTCTCAGTATAGTAGCCACTTCCTCTGGGAAGTTATCCCTGACCCTCCAAGATCAAACACCTCCCTGTGGTCTTGAGTGGGAGAATGTCCTTCATGGTACCGCAGCTTGTCTAAAGGGGCTGACCAATCAGAGCACTGTGATTCCTTGTGATTGGTTGAGGAGGGAGCATGTAACCCAAACAAGACCAATCAGAGTTTTTTCCTGATGGGTCTCTGGGAACTGGAGAGAGGGAGGCCCTTTTCTCCTTGATGATGCTAAGTTTGATGTCTTTAATCCTGGGGTGGCTGGAATCCCTTTGGCACCCCTTGCCAGTAGCTTCCATAGGCAAACCTCACCAGAAAATGCAAATACAAGGGGCAGTGCCTGCAGTCTTGAAAAAATCAAGCAGCAAAAAACTTGTGAGGTCAGGACAGAGGATGGATTTGGGGATCAGACAGGCCTGGCTTTGTCATTTAGCAGTTGTGTGTTCTGAGGCA